ATCCGCCTCCCGACCCCGGTCGGGACCGTGACTAAAGGATTCGTTCACAGAAACGGCCTCTGTGACGCCTGGGATTTTTCCAAGCCTGTTAACTTGGTAACGGCCAGCAGGAGGTAGATAGAAGTATAGTTGCCTGTACCCGCTCGGGTGAGGAGGCATATCCGCGCTTGTCTTCGGACGGCCGGATTTACACTAAACTGTCCAAGATGGCGGGGCCAGAGGGTAGCGTGGTGAACGCGCGCAACCTAGCCGAATTCAGGTTGGGCGCCATATTGCACTGTTTCGGTTTACTCTCACTCATGACTTGTTTATACAATTTATCGAGTTGTAGGGAGTGTAACCTAGGCGTTTTAGCTTCCCTAAGTCGAATGGAATGCTCAAGCGACGAAGCATGTCTGTCCGTGTCACTAGGCGAAGCCCCACGCTTTGCCTTATGCGTGGTTGGGGACGCCATTGCAGAATGGGCCTTACGGGCCCAGCCCGCCACAGCGGTATAGAAACCACTATCACGGACGGGTGTAGTAGACACGTAACACACAGCAAAAATACATGAGGGCTATGGAACAATTAAGCCACCGAACACAAGAACACAGCAACGAGGACAAAAAGAAACTCTTGACCACAGGTGTTATCGCTACACAAAGACTAATAAACTGAGGAACTACCCTTGGAGTAGCGGTCACGCACGTTTGTTCACCTTCACGGTCGCCGTGAGACTCCCAACAGACGACCTTTGCCCCAGACACCTATCATACCGCGGTTCGAGACTTGTATATATTCGAGCCGCATGCCGGGCGAGCGCTTGTGAGAGCACGGTTTCTCTCGCCGCCACCTAACGCTCCCGGCCCGAACTCAAGGCGTCCGGGGAGACGAAACCCCCTCCACTAAACACGATTGCCACAATATACATACATACATATGTATATAGGTATCAGTGACTACAGGAAGGAGAATTTTTCTTTTTTAATATGTAAATTTTATAGTATATCCGTACGACTTTAAGAAAAGATATATGAATACATACATATATACAGAAATTTCATTTTTTATCAAATAAGTGTTTTATGCAATCTTTAATATTTGTAAATGCAACAAACGAGCATAGAAATTAAGGAAATTAAATTACATATTTTCGACAGTGTTTGTAGTCCTGAGCAGGGCTTGCGCAAGGCAGGTTCAGCGCGTTCGCCGGAACCCGGCCTCGCGTTTTGAAAGGCCCTGCGGTTTACAAAAACTCGCGATTGAAACTAATAAAAAATTATCTTCAGTAAAATTATTATTCTTTCAATAAAAAGCGAAGTAGCAAACTCAATCAATTTTGATGACACAGTCAAAGATTTTGCGGCGAAAAAAAGCGAGAAAAATTATGTAATATTCATTTTACAAAAAATATATGTAACATCCTTTCTATTTATAATAAATAATTCCCTATTGTGAAATTTAAGTATAGGATTTGAATGTGTATTCTGGCTCCACAAAATCTTTGGAACCAGGCCCCGCAAATGGTCACGCCGGCCCTGGTCCTGAGGCAATGTATCAGAGTGCTAAGGCAGTGTAACGGTTTTGTATCAGGTTCAAATCCCTCTGTAGATGTTAATTTTCTTTACATTGATAATATTTTTATTCAATTTCTAGGATTGTCCGTAAATTATGTATAAGGAAAAAATGATTCATAACATATTAAAAAATTGTTGAAACCATTTGATGATAGTATATCAGATGATCACATTATTACATTTTTTTATACGACATATACGGTGTTTCACTTTAATTCATTACTATGCCGTAATATTTCAGTATTGGCAAATGAACACACGATAGCACATGCTCAATTGTAATGCTTTATTAGCAGCGAGCAGTTGAATTCTCGTTTGCAGGATAACGTTCTTTTTCTAGAAATTAACTCGAACACAGCTCGACAAAGTAAGATATATCGCGGCATCCCTTTGACATGTATCTATCTCATTTTATCTCGTTGCGTGTATTCTCTTTCTTTGTCTACTGAGATATAGTATTGTGAGCTGAAGGCTATAAGCAAAGGGATACAATCCTGGGTATCGAAGCAATCTTTTGTTACCATCAACGCGTGTTTGACTGCTGTAATGCGAAGTGTTTCACATTTTTATATTAGGGTAGAGCAGGTGGCGCTCGTTCTCGAGGCACAAATTCACGAGCCTTTGAGAACAAAGGCACAGTATAGGAAAGAAAAGTAGGTTCACTCCGTGTCGGCACCTTTGATCTAATGACTAAAAGATCGCTATATTGCTGGTTGTGCGCGGGCTCTAATTTGAAAAGCACTCGGTACAATCAAAAAGAGATTTCGTAATAGAATACCATAAAAAGACTATTAAATATCTACATTTAATTAAAATACACTGAACAACCCATAAAGTGGTAATATTTTGATAAAACAATGATGATAATGTCTTTATCTAAAATGTACAAGAAACGTTGGATAAATATCATTTGACAGATATAAAATATAGGGTGTCCCAAAACGCCTGTTACTGCTGTCACTGCTTGCACTTTGGCACCCTTTGAAGGAACAACGATATCCACCTCTTTCACTCATATTTTATATCTGTGTATAAAATTTACTGAATTTTATCGCAACAGGAATGTTTTAGAAGTAACAGAGGTTAAAATGCAAGAAACTATTATCATATATATTCACAGCCGCCATATTGTTGGTTGTGCGATTCGGTCATGCGCAAGCGACAATTATTAGTACGCTTTTTGGCAGAGTGATCCTACTGTTCTTTCCTATACTGTGACAAAGGCATGTCCGCTAATGCCACTGATATGTATTGGAGATGCTTGAAGCTATTTGAAGGTGGTTTTGGTGTGATGCGCCACCATCATTCGATCAGTGTACTTTACTTCCCCTCACCCCGCGACCGCCCGTGGTACCCGCGTCGAGAGACTGTCTCGTCTTTCGACAGTCTCTCGTCGGTGGCGGTACTCAAAATCTTACCGCTGATTCGCTATTTCCTTTAATACATCGGTCGAACGGTGACGGCTTTGGCGAGTAAAGTCTCCTTCAATTCGCTTCAACCGCTGTACAGCTGGCTTATGGGAATCTCGTATCCATAGTATATATATATATCAGTAACTAATGCCCAGTCTTCTACCACAGTACATACAGGCACAGTATAGAGAAAGAACAGTAGGATCACTCTGCCAAAAAGCGTACTAATAATTGTCGCTTGCGTATGACCGAATTGCACAACCAATAATATGGCAGCTGTGAATATATATGATAATAGTTTCTTGCATTTTAACCTCTGTTACTTCTAAAACATTCCTATTGCGATAAAATTCAGTAAATTTTATACACAGATATAAAATATGAGTGAAAGAGGTGGATATCGTTGTTCCTTCAAAGGGTGCCAAAGTGCAAGCAGTGACAGCAGTAACAGGCGTTTTGGGACACCCTATATTTTATATCTGTCAAATGATATTTATCCAACGTTTCTTGTACATTTTAGATAAAGACATTATCATCATTGTTTTTTCAAAATATTACCACTTTATGGGTTGTTTAGTGTATTTTAATTAAATGTAGATATTTAATAGTCTTTTTATGGTATTCTATTACGAAATCTCTTTTTGATTGTACCGAGTGCTTTTCAAATTAGAGCCCACGCACAACCAGCAATATGGCGATCTTTTAGTCATTAGATCAAAGGTGCCGATACGGAGTGAATCTACTGTTCTTTCCTATACTGTGCCCGCGCACAACCAGCAATATGGGGATCTTTTAGTCATTAGATCAAAGGTGCCGACACGGGGTGAACATGCTGTTCTTTCCTATACTGTGCCTATACTGTATGTACATATATACATGCACATTTGACCGTGGAAGAACTGGATTGTATCATATGGAACTTTCTGTTTTCACCTCCAATTATTAAATTCGTCATAATAAACAATGCAACTAACTTGAAGAAATATTTCATATGGTTTATTTTTTTATAAAGAATGTTTATGTTCAAGATATATTTATTAATGTACAATTGAAAATTGTATGTCTCAGTTTCAAATAAATATAAATTAACTTCAGGTATGTAATGAAAAGCTGATGATACTTGTTTTCTGGACACTGCTTCTACCTACAGTAAAACCTGGATAAATGCAACCAAGATTGGGACCCAGTGGTTGCATTTATCCAAGCGAGGTGTCGAATCTCGGGTTACACGCGACGACCAGCCAAGCGTGAACGTAGAAAGGGACAGACAGTGGCGAAAAGAGAGAGGTCCGATGATGAAAGGAAAGAGCCGAAACGTATCGGTGTGACTAATACTAATTCAACTATAAAACTTTTTTATTTTTGACTTTTCTTTAATGAAACTTTTACTAGCAGATTGGTGACATTTTTCTTATTAAAATGATACCAAACATGAATTATAATTACTTGCTAAAATTGATGTTAAAGGTTGGCGAAAAGCAACAGAGATCGAAATCAAAACCAGTCACGGTGTCGGCTCTGGTTTCAAAGGTTTCATTTATCCAGGCAAGGTGGCGATTCTGGGCATTTAATGTTGCATTTATCGAAGCGAGGTGTCGATTCTACGTCCGTACACATGTTTTGTATTCAGCCGACATGCCGATTCTGTGTCCGTACACATGTTTTGTATTCATCCGACATCATTTATATTCAGTCGTGGTGTCTATTCTATGTTGTTTATTCTATTACTATTGTTTATAAATATAATTCAAACTATATCATGTTTGGTGTCATTTTAATCAGAAAAATCTCACAAATGCGTTAGTAAAAGTTTCATTAAGAAAAAATTAAAAATAAAAAAGTTTTATCGTTCAATTAGTATTAGTCACACCGATATTACGGTCGGATCATATTACACGGTTTTCTCGTCGTGCGGCTCGGTTCGTCTAGGGGGATCCCCCCAAGTGGAGGGGATAGCGATGTTGCACTTATCCAAGCATTCTTTCGTTGCATTTATCCAGGTTTTACTGTATATCAATTCTATTTGAAAGACTTTGTTTATACTGTGCACTGTTTTTTCCTTTTTTGTTACAAATTCAATGAAAATATTTCACTGCGACTGAAAAAACTGAAAGACAGGTACTGATTTCTAGCAGCATTTAGTAAGAAATCAAATGAATTCATTAGAAATATAGACTATAAAAATATGGAATCCTCAGAGAAAAATCCAGCCAGGCGAATATAATCCCGTTTGAGACACGCATACATTCTCTGTGGTTGTGGTGTGGAGGTTGGTGAAGGTCTTGGTGTTACAATACGCAAGATAAACTCTTTACAGGAAGGTTCAGGGAATGTTTTTAGTTTATTCTCTCCAATTGCATCTATATCAGCATTACTGTTGAGAGAAGTCATTACGAGGGCAGCCTAAAATATACATATTTATACATATTACATAATGAACAAAAATATCTAAATTAAAAAATGATTGAAGTTAAATACTTTTTGAGCATCTCTGAACATTGTTGTTATTCGAGAGCCAATATTTCCTCTGGATCCACCTGGCACTTCTACTTCTTTTCCTCGCATCAACTGTATCAGAAATGAAGTAAACTCTTTTGAATCATCATTTCCTCCCAGTTTGTGTTGCAAGGAGTTTACTTGGGCAACCAGAGCTTCAATTCCTTCAATGTCGCGAGTAATTTCCTAAAATAAATTCATTTATTTCATTGCAGATTTGTAAATATAAAACTTTAAATACCTCGTACAAGTGTAGTTTTTGATGAATAGGCTTTGTCGCATACTGCAGTTTGTTTAATATACTGAGTGCAACATCAGGCAAATTTGGTAAAGCATCTTGTTTTTGTTGGCTTAAAGTATAAAGCGCTGCGTGACTTAAAGTCGGTAATAGAAACTGTGTGATTTGTCCTATACGTTTGCAACTTAGAAAATGCAAAGCCTTTTCTGCTTCCCTTGTATCATCGAACAATCTTTTCTGTCGATGCGCAGGAACAGGTTGAGCTGAATTCCAGCTTGTAGACCATGGGTTATTTGGAATTAGCATTCTTGCTGATAAATGTCCTATATTAAATGATATTATTAATGTACATAAATGTTATTTAAAATCCGATCGCTCTATTAACACGTTGACTACCATGTCATCCATATTTGGGTGATACTTGAATTTGCATAGGAATCTATAATCTACAGTGTGTCCCGCGCAACTGGAAACACTCAATTATTTCCTAAACTATTAAAGATACAAGAAATTGCTTTGGTGGTCATTGCATGGTAAGAGGGGGCAACATTTTGACGTTGACGTTGACCTCTTCTGATATTTCCCACTGAAGTGAATTTTTCCTGTGAAAAATCTCCAAATTTGTTAGCGCAATATCTCGAAAACAAATATAAATCAATTGTATACATGCAAGCTTAATGAATTCGACTTCAAAAACACTATCAAATGATCGAAGGAAAAATATATAGTTTCATTTAAAAAACCAAACTTTGCTATTATATTTTTGAAAACAACAATATAAAAAAAATTTCGTCTACGTCAAAATGTTGCCTCCTCTTATCATGCAATGACCACCAAAGTAATTTCTTATATCTTTAATAATTTAGGAAATAATTTGACTTATTTAATTAGAAATATTTATATGGCAGTTAACATGTAAATGAAGTTTAAAAACTATATGATATTGTGAAGAACCTGTAGGTTGACCCCATTCATCTGTTCCATCATCTTCTACCCAATCTCTTGGGGAATACCATCGAATAAAATCTTCTAAAACTGCTCCAGGATTTGCTGCCTATAAATATATGTAGTTGCTTTCATAAAGTTTATTTAACAAATTATTTACAATATAATTTTCATTGAAATAAAATGTTTAACTCTTTGTTACATTATGTTGTAAATCTGTTATTATGCCAGAAAATTCTTGTACCTTTTGAACATTTATTAAAATTAATAAAATATAACAAGTTAAGCATCAATCAAGTGTTCTGGCACTAAAATTTTGAGAAATTTAGAAAGTAATGTTAATCACTTTGGCCTATGATACATTTATTAATGTATTAATGATTATCACCTTGAAAGACTCCATATCAGATAATAAAGAAGCACTCATTAATCTAGCCCGCATTTCTGAAGCTTGTTTATCAGTTCCAAGCTGCATCATAACTTGTGCATCTTCCTCAAGCTGATCTTCAGTTTTTGGCACGGGATCCTGAGTTACCGGTAAGTAAAGAGGATCTCCGCTTTGAATTAACCTAAGTAATAGTGGTATTTTATATTACCGACATTAAACTGAGATCATAATAAACAAAAGCTTTTGTAAAGACTACAACAAATTATCTAAATACTTTCAAGAAATAGGGTTGATGTTACGTAATTGTAGATATTGATGTTTCAAATTCCCGCCAATCGGGATATCTAATCGCAAGTACTTACATGCGCGCGCAACATCTTGGCCCTCTCGTGCGCGCAACAAACATTTGCGCTAACGAAGAGAAAACAAGCAAAACTATTTATCCTTGTTTCTTAATTTCTATGCAGGTATAAACCAAACATTTCACTTATTAGAAAAGAGATGAGAGGTTGACAAAACTCTAACATTAGGAAATAGCAAGATACTCTTAATAATATAAAATGAAAGAAATAGAATTGCAGATTTTACTTGAACGAAGGATGCTTGGCTAATCTTCCTGCTGGCTTGTTCCATAATAGATGTTTCGCTTTCAGCTGTGTCCTTGTCACCGAATCGTCCTCATTTGTTGGTTCCTCGCTGGTGCACTCGAAAAACTCTTCTTCTTCCGACTCTGAAGAAAACGTTAACGTCGTGTACAATGCAAGTCGTTATTCTTATATTTTATCTTTTTTCGGTAAATGTCGATATCTTACCGACCTTATCGATTTTGCTCATTTTTAAATATGTTGTTGGGATGATGATTCTAATCAACTTTTTCCACTACAGGGTGGTCCGCATATCTTGAGACAGGTCAATATCTTCTAAACAACACATTGTCGGAAAAAATGTTTCAAACAAAAATTGTCATGTGTCAGGGGGCAAATTGGATGGTCGGAATGGATCTTTTCAGTGGGCGGTCCTAAAGGACACGTATAAGGAGCATTGTATTTATAATTGCTTTATAATTTTCAACAGACATTTTACCGATTTTATGACAAAGAATTTCCTATTGAGGACAAAGCGAAAATTGATGATCCTAAATACATTGTATAAAAACGAAAAATTACTCGATTGCCGGCAATACCCGTAAAACGTCTTAACTCATAAACAGCTTTTTGATTGCGAATCTGTCATAAATCAGCAAACGAAATCTCTACGTATTGTTCCGTCGAAGGGAACAAGCTTGTTTCTTTACATGAGCCGACTGACGATTTTTACTAATGAGTCAGGAACCTTGGTAGACAAACTTTTATCTACTACACAATATGTAATAAACCAACTTAAAGGTGTTGAAGTTGGTGGTCAACACTTTGAACACCTTTTTAAATAATAAATAAAAATGTTTGTTGAAAATTATAAAGCGATTATAAATACAATGCTCCTTACACGTGTTTTTACCCATCACATCTTCTTAAATATTTAATGGTTTATCTCGGAAAGTTGACAACCCACGAAAAAATCTTTCGAACAAAAGTTACCTATTTTCTCCTAGAGAATATGATAGTATAATAAAAAATGGAGGGTTCCATTAAAAAAAATAAAGTTGACCTTCAGGATCGTCCACTGAAAAAATTCCATTCCGACCATCCAATTTGCCACTTGACACATAACAACTTTTGTCTGAAACATTTTTTCTAAAAATGTGTTGTTTAGAAGATATTGACATGTCTCAAAATATGTGAATTTCCCTGTATGTGTAACTGTCGCTCGACATTAGTTTTCGACATGTTTGTAAAAGAATTCTACATGTACCTACACATTCGTGGCAGCAGTGTATGCGTCAAATTGGGACCATCACTTTTCTTCTTTTTCCATAAACACAGCATGATACTCGGCAAGCAGTATACAGGTTAAGTTAAATTAATATTCCGGTCATCGTGAGGTGGCCGGCCACGCAAGCCAAAATTTAAAATCATTGGAACCAGTTAAGTTTAATTTTTAAGTTCATCCGTCGTAATGCATACTGTTTGTCGAGTACTGTGTTGTATTTACAGGGTGTCCCAGAACTGGGGTAGGAACGGAAGAGGGATGATTGGTGAGGTCATTCTAAACAACTTTTTCCTTTGCCAAAATGTTGGTTAAGGCTTCGTTTTCGAGTTATTATCGAAAAACACTGGCCAATCAGAGCGCGCCGTTAGCGCGGGCCGAACCACGCGAGTGTTGGGTATGTTCCGCGCGGTCGTGTTCAAGTGCATTGGCACCACGACGGTGTGATAGGATTCGTTGTTCATGAGTAATCAATAATTCGATACAATTATTCTTTTCTTTTTTTTATTCATTATCCGATGCAACTTCTATTCAACGAATCCCATCATACCGACGTAGTGCCGAGGCACCTGATCACGACCGCGCGGAACATACCCAACACTCTCGTGGTTCGTTCCGCGCTAACGGCGCGCTCTGATTGGCCAGTGTTTTTCGTTAATAACTCGGAAACGAAGCCTTAACCAACATTTTGGCAAAGGAAAAAGTTGTTTAGAATGACCTCACCAATCATCCCTCTTCCGTTCCTACCCCAGTTCTGAGACACCCTGTATAGATAGAGGGGATAAGTGGTGTCCCAATGTTGACGCACACACTGCCACGGATGAGTAGGTATACGAAAAATTCAATAAATAGTAGCAACTTTCTTTTGCAAATAGCTCGAAAACTAAAAATTGCTTAGAATCATCATCCCCGTAACACATTAAAAATTTACCAAATTGTTAAGTACCTGTTTCAAAGTCGTCAGTGTCCATGCTTTGAGACCTATGTGCAGATTCTTCCCTGGCCTTCTTTTTCTCGATACAACAGTTCATCATCTGGTAACATAATAAACAATAAGGAATTATTGAAACAAATAAAATAACATGAAAGTTTTACCTGAAGCTTTTGATGCAATATGCAGGTCCGCACGGGATCCGGAAATCCTGGACTGATTCTGGAAAAACAATGTAAACAAATATTTAGTGTTGCCATAATTTTGAAAACTTAAGCGTTAATATTAAGATAAGTAATAAAAATATACTTTATTTAATGTAAATATACAGCGTGATAATTGAATATTATTGAGTATAATAATATTTTCATACTAATTCGATTTGGAATTTCATCTTACTGATTGTATTACTTGAGATGTTCAGACCAATATGAATAGAGCTACTCATAGCAGAGAGGCGCTGAGGTTTGAATCTGTTAGCTCGAGCTCGAACGTGTTAAACGGCAAGACTTTTAGGTTTTTATATGTTGAATGGTCGATTTTGAAACATTATAAAATAATTTTTAACAAAAAAAATACAACCGACTTCAAAATGCGCTAAGAAGTGTGAAATAATTTCTATTTCATTTATACCAATATTCCACAGCTATTAATAAAATGTATTTAATCGTTAAATAGTATACTAAATTTCAACCTTTTCGGAGGCGGCGCAAAATTAAAAACTTTTCTTCTACTGGGAAGATCCTAGTTCAGGGGTTGGCAACCTATGACACGCCGGTTACCGAATGACCCATTTGATAATTTCAAGTTAACAATGTTCAACGAGAATCAACATACCCATTGCGGATTAACTACATTTACATCAAAAGTGCTGCCAACTTCTAATACAATCGTTACAATTACAAATGTTTTCAGCCGTACCTATATGGTTCCGCATTTTTTCTTACGACTTTTTAATTACCAAGTTTGCCATACCGCAATCAAATCGTTATTGGCAGCATCGTATATTCGGGTATTTTTCATTTTGCGCTGTCTCCGAAAAGGTTGAAATGTATTTACAAGGGGAACTACCCAAGTGTTACACTCACTTATTAATGAAATTTTGCCAGCTTGTAGAGCTCGTCGAACTGAACACGCCTATACTCCGTATTGTGGGCAGACGACTAATTGTTTAAAAGATATTAATAATTAAAGTTAGTTACTACTTACATTGAGAAGTATGACAGACTCACATATACAATTCGCAATCTAGAGATCCCCGGTTCAAATCCTTGGTTCCCAACATTTTTTTTTTTTATAATGATAATTTTTATGTAATAGTTATTCAAAAAGAGACAAATTATCATTAAAAAAAAAAAAAAAAAAAAATGTTGGGAACCAAGGATTTGAACCGTGGATCTCTAGATTGCGAATTGTATGTGTAAGTTTGTCATACTTCAGAATGTAAGGAGTAACTAACTGTAATTGTTAATATCTTTTAAACAATTAGCCGTCTGCCCCCAAAAGGGGGTATAGGCGTGTTCAGCTCGACGAGCTCTACAAGCTGGCAAAGTTGCATTAATAAGTGAGTGTAACACTTGGGTAGTTCTCCTTGTTAGTATACTATTTAACGATTAAATAGGTTTTATTAATAGCTGTGAAGTATTGGTATAAACGAAATATAAATTATTTCACTCTTTTTAGCGCATCTCGAAGTCGGTTGTATTTTTTGTTGAAAATTATTTTATTAGAATTAGAATTTTGATAGTGGTTGCTTCCATATCACCATTCCCCCTAGAGAAGTCTCTCATGCCTAGTTATGTACTCGTGGCGCGTGTTTATGGGTTCTGGCATGCTGAACAAGAGAGAAGGCCGTCATCGATGGTTCCCCCTTTTATCAGACTATTGTGTTTTTGAATCGAAAGCAATAGTTTTGAATCAACAGTTTTCTCTGATATTTTCCGCAGAGAAGAAATGTTTGTTTATTGGATTTTCTTTTAAAGTTTCAGTTAAAAAAATACGTTCCGGGCGTCGTTTTCATTGCTATTGTTGTTTAAACATATTTAAACGATTTTAATACAAAAGTAATTTATATTATTTTATATATTACAAAAAGTTCATACAGAAATACAATCATATATAAAAAAAAAAAAATGTTTATTTTGTCTAGCAGATCGGACCATGATCAGAATCGAATCGGGAGTTTTGAGATCATGGGGCAATATCAATGCTATATGTATATTATGATCTACTGAAACCCAATCTGATGTTCAAAATATTCCGCCATGCCAAACCATGAATAAGAGTAATGGCTGAATATTTTTTTTGTACTTATCTGTATCGTACACAGTGCTGTCAGTAGAGACTGTGGGACCGGGGGCGAAAGCCGAGATTGTTGAAAACATTTAATTAGAAACAGATACATTGAAACATATTCATAATATGTCTATTTAATCAGTAATTACCAAATGTGAAAGTATTTAATCGCGGGGCTCAGGACAAACAAATTAAAAAATTTTAAATCTCAAGTTTGAAACTTCAAAATTCCAGTGTTTAAATCTAAAGCTTCAAACTTCAAATTTCAAAATTTTAAATGTATCATTTTAAAATCTAAATTTTTAAGTTTTCAAATGATGTTTCAAATTTTCGGAATTCTAAATATAAAAATTTCAACGTTTCAAAATTCAAATGTTAGAGCTTAAAAATTTAAATTATTATATTTTAGAATGCAACGTTTCAAAAGTTTACAATTCAAATTGTATATTTCAAGATTTCAAACTTTTATTTCAGGGTTTCAAAATTCAAATTTTGAACTTTCAAAATCTAGATATTTAAGTTTCACAATACCAAGTAGGTATCTAAATTTAAAATTCAAGGTTTCAAAATTTTTATTTCAGAATTTGGAAGGAATAAATTTTAGAGTTCTGAAATCAAAATTTGAAATAGCATAATACAAAGTTTCAAAAAATATGAAATAAAATGTTTCCTGAATAAACTATGTACACGCGAGTGGGCGAGGCTTGTTTCCTCAAGGAAATCTACCATGCTCGGTACTGTATATTTGTTAGATGCAGGATACTTATAAACACTAGTATATCGTAAGTAAGTGAGGAACGTTCTTCTTTTGAACAGAGCAGTATTTACATGGAATCTGATGAAAATCGACACACTGGTTCGGTAGTTCACTGTCGAAGGAATGATCGGACGAATGAACGAATGAAGAAACGGGCAAACGGGCGAACGGACGAACGAATTACTCTTTCCATAGCTGTGTGTGCTCCACCTGCCCTACCTTGGTAGGCAGCGGTGCCGGTACGAGCGAGCATTTCCTAGAGGGGGTCGAACGCCAAGCGAATTCTTGCAGTCTACTCGAAGACCGTGATGCCATCGAGACGAACTTAACGGTTTCCAGTTACGAAGGAGTCGCTGTCCGAGGATTACGTTCCATCCCGGCTTGCTCGCGAATTCCTCCTTCAATTTTTTTTCTTTTTTTTTTTTTTCTTCCTACGACCCGTGATTTTCCGTCGCTTCGGCTTGACTGTTCGACTTTTCATTTCTGTTGCGGACAACAACAGGTGGTATCCGTTAATTCATCGACATTCCGGTGTTCCTCGTTCACCGTTTCTCTTCTAATACGTGTTGTTTTCGTATTCGATAGCGAATTTTCGTGCCACGAACACGTTATGGGCCAATACTGATTATGAACGAATTGCTGACAAATATGAGTGAGTAAATCCACCGTGGAACTTTTTTTCTCTTTACTATTATTTTTATGAGGTTAGGCGACTTTTTCGATATTCTAAAATTCGGTTTTTTACGATTATGATTGTGTCTCACAACGAACAAGATTTTATAAATTAAAACTCATAATAGAATTAAAGTAAACTGATTAATTAATATTGAATTTATGATATTTTATTAATACATATCAGGTTAGTAACTAAATTCACGACCTTCACATTTTTTCTTACGGAATTATTTATTAAAATTTCAGTCCAAGTAAGCGTCACTCGATTTAACGTTTACGTTAAATCTTATTTTTTTTTGTTGTGATGGAATTTGATTTTGAAACAAAATATTTGAGAAGCGCGTGAATTTAAATTCAAAAATGTTACGATTATGTTTGACAGTCTAAATAAACACTAAACACTAAATAAACCGACTAAATAAAAACAAAGCTGTAATTAAATATTATTTATTGTTATCGTAAAGATATTAAATGAAATTTAACGTCTTTGTGATTTAAACTTTTTGAGAATAAAAACAAAGGGGTCAAGATTTATTTTCTGTCTACGGTCAAAACAAAATGAGGTCGTTCACTTTACAATTTTTTAGATTTAAATGCGGAGAATTAATGAATACCACGCTGCTATTTCTAATAATTTGAAAATTTAAAAATAAACATGATCTTCTAAGATTAAATGAATTCAACATTTTATGTCTGATACATGTTAACGAAATTAATGCTGTTAACATTAATTGAAAATAGGAGATTTTAGGAATTTTAATGTTGTTCGGTCTGATAGTTTTTGAATTTTCAATACAATAATAATTCCCAATGCTTAATATTCCTTAATCCTCGAACGGTGGATCATGGAAAGAAACAGAATTTAAAAAAATTATACATTAAATTTTAGGTTAATATCTTTGTACATTTAGGTCACGATTGACCTAGACTCCGCTATCCAAATATTAACGTAACAGTAATTTAGTAAAATTCAAATTTTTAGGCCGTTTAAAACGATTCTTATTGAAAGCTATTAAACTTTAACTTTCAGGCATGATTTAAGTTTTACTTGAAAATTAAATTACGCGCCAAAAATTTGAAACAAGTAAAATAAGTGAAAATTCTGAATACGTGACCTAGAGAAATTCTATAGAAAAGTTGCTTACATCCTCAACAAGTATAATGATTATAACAGCGAGTTTCAAAGGGCGAATGCACCTACGCACACGTTTTATAGGATCCTCTTTAGCTTGTACTGGCCGACCTTGAATCATGTACTACACGAGGCCAACATATACGCGGTGTTCGTTTCATTTGTATTGAATTGTATAAGGTACTTTAGAAATTACAAATTATATTCTATTTATTAACGTAATTGTGAGCTACAAGGAAAAAGGAATGAAAGAATGAAAGATAAACCCAGAAATTAATTAGGTTTAAAATAAGAATTACCCCTAGCCCTCGGACGGCGGACCATGGAGAGAGCCCCAGTTTTAATATAACTTCGTATTTCATA